TCCAAATCCAGGCAGTAGAATGGAGGCATGGAGGAAGGAAGAAAGGGAGATAACCAGGTGTGTTTAAGGTCGGTTCCTTCAAACTGCCACACAATTTCGATTATCTCCAGTTGGACATAACAGAAGAGCCATGGACCAATAAGGTGGGGGAATCACCATCCTAGTGGTGCACACAAGGAAATAAAGAAGTGATTGTTCTTTTATTATGGAAGAAAGGGAGATTGATATGGGGGGGTAATTAGCAGATGCCCTAATTCAAATACCAACCATGGAACCCAACTTCCTGGATGCCAGTATTGAACAAAAGTTCTAATAGGCTGGAATTAAATGATTGAAATGGGGGTTTACCGGTACACTTGCAGTATTTGAGAATCTTTCTGGAATTTGTGGTCTCTCACATCCCATCATGTCCTGCTGATTCTACTTAATGTATGAAAAATACTTGATTTTTTTCTACCATCACAGCTGTAGTGAATCTTCCTTATGTCCAGTCTGGATTATTGCAATGCCTAGTAATATTGGACAGATACCTTGTATTCAGTTTTTTCTGATGCTCATCTCATTCCCACCCTTCATCTAATATAGTCTATATGGCCACCAAATTGAACTTTCTAAGACACGAGTCTAGTGTGACTGAGAAACTCATTTAAATTTCATCTAATTTTAATTAATTTAAATATTAAAAAAGCAGTGTAAAATATTTTACCATTACTGACAACTTTATTGTTTTGGTAGGACTACATTTCACTTCAACCATTGCATTGCATCGATCTTATTTTTGTATTATAGTGTGCATGTCGTGTATATATTGTTTCTGGGGTTAGACATAAACATATCACTGACCTAGCTGATGTCAAGCAGTTGATATGTTTATTTGGATATTTTATGAAAGCAACATGAGTTACAGTGATATGAAGGAAATAATAATTGGTAATTAAATATACTTATTACTTTAATTACAATTAAATTATTCTAGGTTAAATAAGTGTGTACTGATTTTAAAACTTAAAATGAATACATATTAATGATGCATAGTCAAGTAGAGGCCAGTACTGTGGCCAGAACAGTAAAAAAATAAGAGACTGGAAGAAGTACTGTGAATTTCACAACAAATGCTAATTACAATTTGCTGTGAATAGAGCAAAATAAAAGAGCTGTTAGATAATGTACAAAAATTGAGTTAAAGTAGAGAATATTGTGAGACATTTGCAACAAATACATAACACATTTGATGAGAATTTTCCTTTTGATAACCAAAAAGGAATAGATAAAATTAGTTGCCTGAAATCATAATTAAATGGGAACCAAAATTTTAAATAACTTTGAAACATAATCTGAGCTTATAACTTTGTGTAGCTATAAAGTGGCTTTGTGTGTTACATACACAAAAAATCAAATTTTAAGTGGAAATATGGGAAGATAAGTTATTACTGTAGTTATGGAAGTTTTGTTAGGGTATTATGAAAAAAGAAAAATTATATTGTATAAAAAGTAAAAAAAAAATTAAGCCACCAGTCAACTGCCTATAAGAGATCTAACAATATCAAAGATTAATTCAAAATTAGTAAAGCTACATATATTCTTCTCTAGCTTTAAGTGAGTTATACAATATGAAATATTGCCCACTTAATACTCTGCATACATTTTGCCTCAAAAGACTTCCAAATCAAATAGAAATGTTGTCAATTTGCAGCCTACAAAATCAGTCATAGCATAGATATTTTAAAATAGTTTATATATGTCAAAAAAGAATTTCCACTAGATATGAAAAAAATAATTTCTATTATGATTAAACAGCTATGCTAAGTTAAAAATATGAATTCTGTGAATTTTATTTTTTTAAATTCTTTTTTTTTAATTTTATTATGTTATGTTAGTCACCATACAATACATCATTAGTTTTTGATGTGGTGATCCACGATCCATTGTTTTTGTATAACACCCAGTGCTCCATGCAGTACGTGCCATAAATTTTAAAGAGCTTTATGTCTCCCTAATTGATTTGCTCCACAGTATGAAAAGTATGATGGTTTAGTATATATGGGTAAATATGAATCACTGTCACTTTATGGAACTGTTGAAAGAAATAGAAAACAATGAATTTATTTATGTTCTTTGCTAATGCTCATTGGTTCAATGGTTGAAGAGTTTTACAGATCTTTTACAAAGATTTACTGTACTTGGCAAATATTTCATAATCAAGACCCCCAAAATGACAGTGTAATTTGTTTTCTCACCAGTACCACACTACATATAAACAAAGAAAATCTGGAACGCCAAGGAAAGGAAAAGCTGTTTTTGTGACCTAACTAAAAGGGTAGGAATATTTCTTGAAACTGATACTTTTCATAAGTTAAAAATAATTTTACTTATTTTTCTATCATGAATCAATATATGAAAGATTTTCACTGGAAGCAAAAGCATTGTCAAAATATACAATGAAGAAACAGGAAATCTTAGTAAAGAAATAGAAACTATATAAAAAAACACGAAGTTAGAACTGAAAAGTGCCATATCTCAAACATTTGATAAGCTTAACAGCATAATTGAGATGACAAGAAAAAGAATCAGTAAATTTGAAGATAGAGCAATAGAAATTATCCAATCTGAAAAAGAGAAAAAAGGTTGGAGAGAGTCACTAACAGAGCCAGTGACCTGTGGGACAATATCAAAAGATTTAACACACGTACCTGGCATCCCAGAAGGAGGAGAAGCAAGGGCAGAAAAAAATATCTGAATATGGACAAAATTTTCTGAAATTTGGGGAAAAGTATAAGTGTGCAGATTTCAGAGGCTCAGAGAACCCCAAACAAGAGTAACATAAAACCACACTTAGACCAGCATTCTCAAATAGATGAAAACCAAAGGTAATGAAAAATCTTGAAAGCATGCAGAGAGAAATGACATATACAGAGGAAAAATAATTCAAATGACTTCTCATCATAACCCATGGAGGACAGAAATCAATGTCTATCTTTTGAAAAATACACACAAACCCCAGAATTCTATAGCAAGAAAAACAATCCTTCAAAAACAAAGGCATTTGGTAAAAGAAATTGATAATTCACCACTGGCAAATGTGCACTCCAAGAAATGCTAAGTTAAGTTCTTCAAGCTGAAGGAAAGTGATACCAGATGGAAATTCAGACAATTGGGAATTGGTAATTGGGAAATCAGGAAGAGCATGGGAAAGGGTAAATATATGGGTAAATATAAAATATGAGGGCTTGGGGGGGGTCTTGATTTCTTTTTTAAAAATTTTCTTAAAATTATGTTCAGTTAGCCACTGTATAGTATATCATTAGTTTTTGATGTAGTGTTCAGTGATTCATTCATTGTGTATAACACCCAGTGCTCATCACAACACTTGCACTCCTTAGTACCTATCACTCTGGAGAAGATATTTGCAAATGACATTATAGATAAAGGGCTGATATCCAAGATCTATAAAGAACTTCTCAAACACAGTGCTCAAAAAACAAAAACCCCAGTCAAAAAGTGGGCAGAAGACATGAATAGACACTTCTGCAAAGAAGACATACAAATGGCTAACAGACACATGAAAAAATGCTCAATATCACTAGCCATCAGGGAAATACAAATCAAAACCACAATAAGATACCACTTTACACTGGTTAAAATGGCAAAAATTTGGGAAACAGGAAATGTTGGAACAAATGTTGGCAAGGATGTGGAGAAAGGGGAACCCTCTTACACTGTTGATGGGAATGCAAGCTGGTACAGCCACTCTGGAAAACAGTATGGAGGTTCCTCAAGATGTTAATTTCTTTAAAATAATAGCCTGTTTAAATTTCTGAGTGGATTGCCAATGTGACTTTACATGGATTACTAATGGCAAAGAAAAAAATATACCAATACAATGGAGGGAACTCGTGGTCATTACATGAATCAAGAGATCAAACATAGTTTCACTTGTATGCCACCTGATATTTTATATTAAATACACTACTATCTATGAAGTAGTCTTATAAAAAATGTTTAGTCTGAAAAGCCTCTAGACATAACCTTCAGTTCACAATAAATACAAAGGATAGAGGAACAAGTTAAGCCCACCTTGAGAAAAAGGACAAATATGGAATCACATTATACAGGTTACTTCTGAGTCTTCAAAAAATGTAAGGAGGTGGAGGGCAAATTCTTGACCAATTCTTATTAGACCCAATAAGCTGCAGTCATATAAAATATATGAGCTTAGTTTGGTTTTTGGCTTTTAAAAAGCTGGCACTTTTAGAAGATAGTCTTTAGCCAATCCAAGAAATTTGTAAATGGGCTGAATATTATAGAACAATATAGGATTATTATTAGTGTTTTTTAGGTAACAATGGTTTAATGGTCATCTAGAAGATTACCCTTAATTCTAAGAGCTGTATGTTGACTTATTAGAGGTGACGTGATATCTAAAACATTCACTGAAAAACACAGCAAAATGATATATGTAAAATATATTCAATATATATGATGTATATATGCATATATTAAAAACTTAACAATTTGGTAGCCAAAGACCTAGGTTGACTTGGAAAGGTTTTCCTTGAGTTTTTGAAAGTTTTCAAATTTACATAAAAGGTACAACAGTGTTACAATGAAGTTTGTTTGCCCTCTACCTAGATTCAATATAGCTGATATTTCTCTCTCATAAATATGAACATGTTCATAGGTCTTTGGCTACCAAATTGTTAAGTTTTTAATTTATTTCAATTGTAGGGCATGTGGAATGTATGTTATCTGTATTACAGAATTTATTGTAAGAAACTTTCTTCAAACTCCTCTCCAGTTTTTCAACAGCTGAACTCACAATATCCAATAAGGGCACAGCATTTCTTTTTTTTTTAATCTTTTTTTTAAAAGATTTTATTTACTTATTTGACAGAGAGATAGACAGAAGAGCACAAGCAGAGGGAATGGCAGAGAGAGAGGGAGAAGCAGGCTCTGCACTGAGCAGGGAGCCTGATGTGGGACTCGATCCCAGGACCCTGGGATCATGACCTGAGCCAAAGGCAGACGCTTAACCATCTGAGCCACCCAGGTGCCCAGGCACAGCGTTTCTGATTATTAATCTTCAGGGAGTTGAGCTTTGAATAAAAAAGTGTCTTGTTTAGTATATTCTATGGGATTTTGTCCAGAATTAATTATCTGAAGAAAATATGGATGAACACTGATGCATTTAAAAAATATGCATTATAGGGTCTTCCTTCCACATGAATTTATGTATAGTAATAATGGTGATTATCATTAAAGAACCACAGTACTTAGTAAGCAAATACTATGTGCCAGATGCCCCTCTAAGCATTTAAATTTTGTGTTAAATAATCTTTACCATAACATCATTAGGCGGTAGAATAGTGATAATGGTAAAAGGATGTGCCAAAGCTAAATGCTTTCTGACTCTCATTACATCAGGAGTTTCTCACCACTATGAAATCTTTGATGTTGAGTAAGTTGATAGCAACGAGTAAAGGCCTTTCCACATTCCTTACATTTGTGTGGTTTCACACCAGTATGAATTCTCTGATGTTGAGTAAGTCGATCACTACGATTAAAGGCCTTACCACATTCTTTACATTCATAGGGTTTTTCACCAGTATGAATTCTCTTATGTTGAGAAAGACCTGAGATAGAACGAAAGGCCTTCTTACATTCTTTACATATATATGGTTTCAAACCAGTGTGAATTGTCTGATGATAAATCAGTTGAGAATTAAGTCTGAAGGTTTTTCCACATTCCTTACATTCAAAGGGTTTTTCCCCTGCATGAATTGACTGATGTGTTTTAAGGTCTCCAACACGACTGAAGGCTTTCCCACATTGTTTACATTCATATGGTTTCAAGTCAGTATGAATTATCTGATGTTGAATAAGGTACGAATGAAGCTTAAATGTCTTCCCACATTCTTTGCATTCATGTGGCTTCTCGCCAGTATGAATTCTTTGATGTTGTGTAAGTTGAGAGCCTCTACAGAAGGCCTTCCCGCAGTCCTTACAATCATAGAGTTTCTCACTACTATGAATTCTCTTATGTTTAAGAAGGCTTGAACCCCTACTAAAGGCCTTCCCACATTCCTTACATTCATGCGGCTTCTCGCCAGTATGACTTCTCTGATGTTCAATAAGTAGATAGCTGCGAACAAAGGCCTTTCCACATTGTTTACATTTATATGGTTTCTCACCAGAATGAATTTTCTTATGTTGATAAAGACTTGAACGATGACCAAAGGCCTTCCCACATTCCTTGCATATATAGGGTTTCACACCATGATGAATTTTCTGATGTAGGCACATATGTCGGTACAATCTAAAAGTTTCCCCACATTCCTTACATTCATAGGGTTTCAAACCAATATGAATTTTTTGATGTTCAGTAAGGTGAGAATAACGTCTAAAAGACTTCCCACATTGCTTGCATTCGTAGGGTTTTACACCAGTATGAATGATCTGATGTTGAATAAGCTGTGAATAAAACCTAAAGGCTTTCTCACATCCATTACATTCATAGGGTTTTAAATCAGTGTGAATTTTTTTATGTCTAATAAAATGCTGGAGAACTATAAAGGCTTTTCCACATTCCTTACATTCATAGGGTCTCACACCATTATGGTCTCTCAAATGCTCGGTAAGGTGTGAATATTTTCTAAAGCCCCACCTACATTCCTTACATTCATAGGATTTCTCTCTAGTGTGAATTCTCTGATGTAGAGGAAGAGATATATGTTTTATAAATGTCATTTGACTAAAACATCCCATGTTAGGCCCCTGTTCTCTCCCAAATTCAATTCTGCACTGTGGGTCATTTCTGAAAATAAACCTCATAAGGTTGAAGGTTTTACTTCTTTTCATTGTCTCCCGATGGTATGAATTTACTTCATAACTGCTTTTTTCTGAAGATAACTTGTTGGTCCCAGTTGTAAAATCAAAGTCTGAAAGAAAACAAGAAAATAAACAAATGCTATTTTCCTGTACTGGGGATGAGGAGGGGCCTTCTAGAATAAAAATAGTGATAAATTGAGAAGTATATTCACTAGAAGTAAAAGGGTCATAAAATCCTAAAATACTGTCATGAAATTTTTAAAAGGCAAGAAGGCCTCAGAAAATTATGAACGTTCATATTGAGAACTATAAAGTTTGTGAGTAGGCAAAGAGAAAAAGTCAGTAGTTCTCATATTTAGTGTGGATCAAAATTATAGAGGGAGCTTCTTATATACACTACCTTTTAGATATCTGCTGAGACTGAGTGAATCAGAATCTAGAGGAGTAGGTTCTGGTCATCTACATTTCTAACATTAATCTATCAGATGGCTTTATGTAATTTTTTCAATGGCTTGTCTTTATTTTAGGATAAAATCCTAAACACATAATCATGAGTAAAAAGGATCTGTCTTTTACACAAATTCATCTCAAGCCCTTGGCATCTTTTGTTCCATATATACTATCCAAATGCATCTCTTCAGCTACTAAAACATATATAACCTTTCCCATTTCCTGGGGCTCCGCACAGGTGCTCCACCTTTCAGAAATCCTTTTACCTAGTGCCTTTAATTATCATCTTGCAGATTAGAAATCACATCTTCAGAAAGGCTGCCTCTGCTAACTCTTAAGTAAATTCACATCCTTTATTCTCTATTCCAACACCTAATTTTTTTTAAAGATTTTATTTATTTATTCGAGAGAGAGAGAATGAGAGATAGAGAGCATGAGAGGGAAGAGGGTCAGAGGGAGAAGCAGACTCCCTGCCGAGCAGGAAGCCCGATGTGGGACTCGATCCCAGGACTCCAAAGATCATGACCAGAGCCAAAGGCAGTCGCTTAACCAACTGAGCCACCCAGGTGCCCCCCAACACCTAATTTTTGTCTTCAAAATACTTTTTTCTATTACATATTTATTTTCTCATTTGTTTTACTACTTATTTTCTTACTGTAAAACTCAAAACTTCTTCTAACTACTACTGCAAAACAAGTCCTTACCACAAGGTAAATATTAATTGTAGGATAAAATACTGAATTTTAAAGATGAACTTGGATGAAAGTAAAAGTAAATAAGAATGAAAATTAAGGTTACTGGGGAAGGCAGCTGAGTAAAATGTCCATTTAGTTTCTGAAAATTATGCAGCAGTTATCCACCATCTCTCTCTGACTAATCTCTCTTACCTTATTACAGTAAAATATGTTTTCTGTCATTTACCTTACAAGTGAGAAATATGCACATCCAAACTAGCTCAGGCAAAAACATAAATGGAAACAGGTGACACCTGATCATTCTCCAATTGCTTATCACCTTACATTGATATACATGTCTCTACCCCATTGTTCCATCTTCCCTGTGCCTAGTCACGATCGTTTTTCTGCTTTATCTCAATCAAGATAATCAGATGGTGTATTACTTTCATCAGCAGTGTTTTAATATTATTCATCCATCCTACTGATGCTCACTACGTTTTGTTTCTCTAATGACTTTCCCAAATTCTCCTTTCCATTCCTTTACAGCCAAGGCCAGTCGTTCTTGAATTTCACAGAAATGTATTTCAGGAATTGCAATAGTTAATATTATTTCAAAAGGCTTAGGAAAATCTAAGAAATTAAACTTGAGGATGTTGGGAAAAAATAAAGTAACTAAGTGCTATGGGAACAGACTTTGGGAAACCAAATGCCTGGGACTCTGCAACAAGGAAATGTTGAATATAGGCTAAAGTTGGCTATCTGGATAGTGGAGCAGCCTGAAGAACTCTAATGTGCTAAATGGGTCAAGTATGAGTTGAAGGCAAGTGGGATTCTCCTTTGAATGAAGTACAATATGTTCAAAAAGTTGAAGTAAAGCAAACAATATTCTCTGAACTAATGAGAAATGACTAGCAATCCCCAAAAGCCAAAACACTTTATATTGATAAATAAAAATCAACACTGTTAGCAAATGATAAATACAAACTGAAAGCATGGAACTTCTTGAAAACAATGATAATAAAGATATAATACATCAGAATCTATGGCCTTTAACTGTAGTGCTGCAAACTCATAGACTAAAAGGCTTACATCTAATGAAAAACTAAAGAATTAAAATGAATGAATTAAATATTAAATCAAAAATTAGAAAAAGAATGATAGTCTGCTGAAGGAAAACAGAAAAACGGAAATGAATATAATAAAAACAAATTTTAAGTAAAATTGTACAATTAACACATGCAAACAAACCAGTAGCCTACCTATTCAAGGAACAAAAGATAGGAGGAAAATCTAAACACAATGACAGTAGGGAAACAGTCATCAATAAGGAAATAAAAAATGTTTAAGAAACCCATACAAGATAACTATGCAAATAAATTTGAGATGTACATGAAATGATGAATTTTTTGAAAATATAATTTATAAAAACTCACCCCAGTTAAATTTACTGACTTGCTTCTAACAAATAAAATATGAAAAGGGGAAAAATAATAACTTCTCAATGAAGAAAACCAGCAGACACCACTTCATACAAGTTTTTAAGGTTAGCACCCCACTGATAAATCATGTTGATATCATGTGCCCCTAATATACAATAAGAAGGGCACTTCTCTGGTATTCTTCCCACAAATCCATAATCTCAGTTTAATAATAAGAAAACACCAAACACACCAAAATAACCAAACAGTATCTTCAAAAGTATCAAGGTCAAGAAAGAGAAGGAAAAACAGAAACTGTCACATTGGGAAGAAACTAAGGACACAGGATGACTAAAAGTAATGTGGTATCCTGGATTGGATCCTGAAACAGAAAAAAAGACATTAGTGCCAAAACTGGTGAAATCTAAATAAAATATTTATAGTATTGTAAAATGTTAATTTGATAGTTTTCACAAATGTACCATGGTTGTGTAAGATGTTATCATTATGGGAATTATATACTGGAACTCTTTGTACCACATTTGTAAATCTGTGAATCTAAAATTATTTTAAAATAAAAGTAAGACCATAACAGAAACAGATTCCAGAAGAGATGGAAAATCTAAACAAACCAATTTCCACAGAATAATTTTAAAAATTGTATATTTATCCCACAAAAAGGTGATTACAATTAGCTTCCCTGTTGTCCAGGTTTCAGTCCCTGTAAACTATTTCCCACTGATGTTAATGAGGGTGCCTTAGAGAAATAGCTAATTCCTAGTCCAGGGCAGGGAAGATAAAGGTGAATCTAAGACCTCTTGTACTAAAGTGCAAAGAAGCTTTCAAAGACAGAGTTAATAATTTGTGCTTTTGGTCATGTAACATTAAGAGGGATCAAATTTGCCTTCCTACCTTAAACAACTAGAAAACCAAACAAAATATGTGAAACAACATCTTTCAAATGTTGGAAAATAGATAGTACAAGATAGAAATTTCCCGAGGGAGGGGAAACAAATGAAGTGTGCCCCACAAGTACCACAGCTCACTGTCTAAAGAGGATTTCTAGAAAGAAGCACATGGAGGAGAAACTAAGTGCAGCTGTACCCCCAAGTTGAGAAGACAGAGTAGAGAATTAAGGGAAAGAAATAAGTGCAGAATTTGCAAGGCAGAGTACTAGAGAGGAGGGAGCTGCACAGAGAGATCTCTGGAGATCTGTAGAGGAATCCCCTTGATACTGGGGCTGAATGTGAATCTGGGCATCTGTATGAGGACACTAATGAGAACAAAGAATGTACTACTAGATAGGAGTAGGCAGAACATCCCCTAGAAGTCACAAAGGGCAGGGGATAGTTCTTCTTTCCACCAACCACAGTGGAAAGGCCCCATACCACACAAGGCATCAAACATAGTCCCCAGAAGGATATTGCCTCAGTAGTGGGGCCAAGTTAGCCCTAGACTGACAGCTGTTCTGGACCCACCCTAACAAAGCCTAAAAGCAAACCATGAAAGGATCAACAGATTCCAAATTATGTAACTACATCCAAGAACAAAGCCCAAATATGTAAAAGAATATTAGAAAATCCAACATCCCAACACAGTAAACTTCACAATGTCTGGCATCTAATAAAAAATTATTAGGCATGTAAAATAGCAGGAAAGTATGACCTTTACTAGGAGAAAATTAAAAGAAACACAACAAGGAATGATACAGATAATATAATTAGTAGAAGATATTGAAAGAGCTGTTTTTACTTTTATTTTTAAAATATTTTATTTATTTATTTGAGAGAGAGGGAGAGTGAGAGAGAACATAAGCAGGGGGAGAGGCAGTTGGAGAGGGAGAGGCAGACTTCCCTGCTGAGCAGGAAGCCAGATGTGGGGCTTGATCCCAGGACCCTGGGATCATGACCTGAGCCAAAGGCAGACGCTTAACTGACTGAGCCACCCAGGTGCTCTGTTTTTTTTTTTTTTCTTGAGTGGCATTTTTTTGTAGATAAATTTCTAATAATTTATTTCATTTGATTTCTCAAAGTTTTTGGCAAAATGTTTTTCAAAATACCATATTTTCAAGGCTTCATGGTTTGTAATGTGGTGCCTTTTTTCCTTACATAAATTTTTTTTCTTGATTCATGTTGATAGAGTTGTACCACTTTTATTCATTCTTTGAGAGAACCAAATTTATAGTTGTGACTTGCTCTTTTGTATGTTTGGTTTTTATTTCATTAATTTCTGTTCTTTCCTTTATTATTTCCTTTCTTCTACTTTCTTTAAGTCTGTTGTGCTCTTCTTTTCCTGGCATATCAAATGGATGATCAGCTTATTAATTTTCAATATTTCTTCTGGAATCAAAAGATCCATTGGGAGAGGAAGCTTGAAATCAAAACAGATAAACAATAAGAGCCATGAAGAAGTGGTGAATTGGCCCTGAGGATCTACCACTTTTCTCCTGCAGAAACTTACTTATTCTGAGTATAGCTAGCAGTAAAGGCAAAGTGATTAAAAAAAAAGGTAACTAAGAAATATCAAAACTGAAAATCAGCACCAACCCAGCTCAATCACTGATTATATTATAGTGATCAGCCTGCCACTCTATCGATTAATAGAGGAAAATGTAAATACTCTGGTGGAAGATACCATCACCGGAAACCATTCAGTTCTTTTTTTTTTTTTAAAGTATTTATTTATTTGAGAGACAGAGAGAGAGAGAAGGAGAGAAAGCAGGGGGAGAAACAGGAGGAAAGGGACAAGGAGACTCTGTGCCAAATGCAGAGCCCAATCGAGCGGGGCTCAGTCCCACAACCCCGAGATCATGACCTGAGCTGAAACCAAGAGTCAGATGCCCAACTGACTGAGCCACCCAGGTGCCCCCCGTTCAGTTCTTTTGTACACAATATCCAGCATACAATCACAGTTACTAGTAACATGAAGAGGAATTACCATATGATGAATAACAAGAGCAAAGAAGAAATATAAGCATAGCCCACAGATGAAAAAACAGTAATGAAAGAAAGTAAATAAAGAATGAAGAATTTATATAAAATTAGATGTTATAAGACAAATTGAATTTCTAGAACTGAAAAAGACAACATATGATATGAAAAACCCATCTTTAAGAGCAGACTTATCATAGCAGAATACAGGTAAGTGAGCTGAAATACAGGTCAAGAGAAAATAATAGAGAGAAAAGGAGATATATACATGATAGAACTGTGAGATACACTCAAAAGATCTAACATAGGTATAACTGGAGTCCCAGAAGAGAGGAAAGAATGGTCAAGTATTTTTCAAAAGCTGAATGAAGACTTTCACTTCTCAATAGAAACACTATAAAATCACCACAAGCCAACATTTCCACTGCTATAAGTATAAAAATAATACTAAAAAGATAATGTTCTTGATTCATTCTACACTGTAAAAATTACCAAGTTTCATTTGTAGCAAAGAGAAAACCAGGACCCCATGTTACCTGTTTTCCATGTAGGTGGACCAGCAATTAAAATGGAATATTTGTAGATATTCTGAACATACACATAATATGAAATTTGTTTTCTTTGCCATTGGTTATTCAGAAAAAATCCTAGAATTCAAACGTTTATTCTAGAAAAAGAAGGAATTGCAGGATGGGGCAGAGGGAGGTAGGCAGGTAAATAAAAGAAAAGATTCAGGTGCTGAATGGAGATGCCCACTTCCATCTAACAAAACTCAAACTAGGCCTCTGAGAATATGGGGAATATGAATATGGAGAAATTTATCTAGTTTCTCGGCATAGAGCATAAAATATACAGTGGAGAAAGCAGCTATTCCAGATAGCAGATTCTATGTCACTTCAGGCAGATGTCCTTACCCAGTGAGACCAAGTTAGTATAATTCTCCAACATCACATCTCTGTACAAATCCCTCTGATCGGAATTTAGGCATTCCCACTCCTCCTGAGAGAAGTCTATGGCAACATCACTAAATGTCAACGGCACCTGAAAAGACAAACCCATGTATTATTCATAACAGTAAAGAAAAAATGTTCAAGATAGAATGAATGAATTGCAGTAAGGGGGTAATATAGAAAACAAATAAGCTGAAGTTACAAGATCATGACATGATTAGATGAGAATAAATACATTAGCTTCCGAAGTAGAGTACCAACAGTCCTGAAGAATCCTGTTGGAGTGCAAAAAATTCCTTTAAAAATAAAGGAAAACTTAAATACCTAAATGTATGAAAATGAATAAAGCAAACAGACTTTCCCAATTAAATGAAACAGTATATATAAGAACATTACCTACTATGTACCTGAATCACATACTATTAGTAAATACAAGTTCTTATGTCTTTTCTCTTCAAGGACTATGTAAAAAGAATTGTTCATTTTTTCTCCAAAATGAATTATAAAATCTCTTACAGCTAAGATGGAGTAACATGGATTGGATTTACCCTCCCATGTGAAGTAACAAAAAAACATAGACAAATCGTATGAAACAATGGTTTTTGAGGCAGAAAATATTGGGTAGTGATCCCTGACAGACAAGTAACAAATGAAATGAGCCTTATGATTGCTGTAGCTTACTGCTAGGAGACAGTACACAATTATTAGAATGGCTAAAATTTAATAAGACTGACCATTTTAAGTGTTGCTGGAGATGTGAAAAAAAAATGGAACTCTCACACACTGATGGTGGGACTGTAAAATGGTAAATCATTTTGAAAAGTCGTTTATTGATTTCTTAAGAAGTTAAACACCCATATCCCCCAGTCATTCCACTCCTAGTGTTTATCCAAGAGAAATGAAAACATATGTCCACACAAAGGTTTGTGCATGAAGCAGCTTTACTCCTAATAGCCAAAAAGTGGAAAGAACTCAAAAATCCATCAACAGAGGAATGGATAGACAAATCTTTGTATATACTGAGAATAGAATACTAATCAGCAATTAAATGGATGAACTACTAATATATGCAACAATATGAATGAATCTTAAGATAAATATGCTGAATGAAATAAGATTAAAAAAGAACACATGATGTATGATTCCATTTATATAAAATTCTAGAAAATGTGAATTAACCTATAGTGGCAGAGCACAGAACAGCAGTTGCCTGGGCATGAAGGGCAAGTTTGGGGGCAGGTAGGAAGGGGCAACTATAAAGGGGCATGAGAAAAAATTTGGAATGATGGATATGTTCATTATCTTGGCTGTGGTAATAGTTTCACAGGTATATACATAAGTCAAAATTTATCAAATTCTACACTTTAAATATGAGCAACTTATCGTCAATTATATTTCAATAAATCTGCTTTAAAAAGACAAAATACATACACTTAATTATATGTCAATTATACTTCAAAAAGCTGATAAAGTTTCTGTCTGAGGAAATGGAGTTTGTATAAAATTAAGTAATTTTATCAAAGCATAATATATGTCAGATTATGCATCATAAGCAGTTCCTTTATTCTCACAAGTTAATGTTTTCATTTAGTCCCTCTTAAAGACATCAGATTTAATCTTCCTTAAAGTATTAAGGTATTATTAATAATATTATTCAAGTAATATTAAATTTTAAAGTATTATACTATTACGATATTTAGGTTGGACACAAATTCTAACCTCTTCCCCGCTGTTCAATATCATCTACCACTTGTAGTTCTAGATGATCTTCCTTTCTACAATCCGTTACTGAACTACTGTTCCTAGTTAGAACACACTAATGTAGGATGATCAGAAAAACACTGATTTACTCAAGACCAGCAATTTCTCTTTCAATACAAAATTCTCAGTGATTTCTGTAGCCAGGGCCCTGATATCTGTCTGTCTGTCTGTCTCTTTCTCTCTGCAGGCCCAATAACATTTCTACCCAAACCTAAAAGCTTTCAAAGCTGAGTTCTCATTTCACACCTGAGTCTGAGACCATTCATAACCCCAAACTCCCTTATCTTTCTGGAAAACTAAGGAGAAAGTTTTCTCTCCTGTGGTCAGATAGGGCCACCATTTATTTTCCTTTCTTTTTTGGGTGGGGGGAGGCAGAGGGAGAGAGAGAATCTTAAGCAGGCTCCATGCCCAGCACGGAGCCCAACATGGGGCTCGATCTCACGACTCTTAGATCATGACCTGAGCCACAATCAAGAGTCAGATGCTTAGCCAACTGAGCCACCCAGGTGCCCCAGGACCATCATCTCTATAAAATGAAACCACAAACCTGACAAAGGAAGCTCAAATATTTCGTTCAAGGTACTTCACTCGTGCACTGCTCCAACACTGCTCTTGAGAAAAGACTGAACACATAGAAGATGAATAATTGAAAATCAGTTAGAAAAAAAGGGAGTAAACGAGGAGGACACCATCCTTCTCTGTGAGGGGAGAAACCATGAAATAGGGTCAGAGATACAGCTTTCCTAGGTAGGAGGTATGGGGATAAAGAATGAAAGTTTTACCTGAGTTAAAAATTATAGTATTTCAGGAGGGAGATAGACATCCACTTACCTGGGCCATGGTTTTCAAACTGCTGATCTTCCTCAGGTCTCCTCTATTAGAGAAGCTGATTTCAGAGAAGCCAGAGCTGGGAGAGGAAAAAGAGGCCTTGAGATCTAGTGTATCTCGGAACTCCAAAAATTATCTAAGGTAATATAACCTTTCTTCGTTCTTCTTTATTCCTGCTTCCCACTGTCCTTGCCCACTCTCTACCCTCCCAAACACATGAATACATGTCAGGGGATATGGGAAGTCTAGACAAACCCAAGCCCTTCCCCATATCTACAGATACAAGCCACATAAGAGTGGATACAGAACAGAGGCACTCTGCACCCAAGCTAGATCCAGACACCCACACTGCTTTATTTCTCATACTTATCAAGCCAACTGAACCCAGCCTGGGTTGTTCAGTGATACTGAATAGATCCTCATCCAGGCCTATCTTACAGGGTAAAGACCAAGCCACACAACACAAACTGCAACAACCTTCATGTCTTTGGGATGGACTTGGACATGAAATCTTTTGCACCAGATAAAAGACAGAAAACAGTAGAGACCAACCTGGAAATCTTGACCACTGTAAAACTACCTGCCCATATGAAGCCTTTCCCCTAAGCCAGAACTATGATTCCCAAGATCCTCTGGGCTAACCAGCCTGGATTTCCCGATCAGGATCTACTTTGCTGGCGTGAGTCATTCCCTGTGCCTCAGCAACCAACCCACCCAGTACCCACTAGAGAGGAGTGAATTCATTCTTACTGAAACCATATAGCAGCACATAGATTTTTTGCAACCTTCTATGTGATAGGTAGTCTATACACATTGACATTTAATTCCACAATGTAGTTATTATCTCAGTTCAACAGATGAAAAAAATGAAAGTTCAAAGAATTAAAGACATATCCCCATATCACAAACAATAAGTAGAAGTGATATGTTTTGAATCGCATTTCTATAGTTATAAGGCCAACATTTCTCCAACTATTGCCTTTTAAACCCAGATTTTTTGTTCCCTTGTGTGAAACCTAAGAACAGGTAATTAGGACATCACCTATCAAAAGATTTACTAAAGAGATGTTTTTCAGTAATAAGGTACTATCATTTATAGGTATTCAATTTTCAGATTTTAAAGGATGATGATGCACCACATATAGTAAGGTGTAGGGAAAGGAGCATTGTTATGGTGTCCGGTAGACTTGTGAAAACCTAGGGCATTTGAGACATGTAAGCAGAATTATGCATAAGAATTTAACCATGAAAGGCGATTTCTGAATCTCCATCCAAAGGAAATAACTGTAAAATGTGCCTAGAGATGTAGAAAGGAATAGGATAGATTACTAGTGAAAATTTTTAAAAAACTGGAGAGAAATTTAAAGGTACTCAATCTAAAGGTTCTTAGATGGGTGGTTAATTAAACAAACTATAGTGCATTCATACAATGGAAAATGAAGCAGACTTTGAAAATGATTGTACAGATCACTGGTCCTCAATAGTGGAACATTCAGCAATGTCTGAAGACATATTTGGTCGTCAAAATGTGGGAAGGGGTGCCATTGTTTCTATCAGGTAGAGAACCAGGGATGCTGCTAAACATCCTAGAATGCACAGGAAAGCCCCCCACAACAAAGAATTATCTAGCCAAAAATATCAACGGCACTAAGGTTGAAAAACCCTGAAGTAAACTCATTAAAGAAAGATAACATAATCCAGAATCTGTATATTATCCACAATGCCACCTTACAATAACAAATATTAAACATGCAAAGAAACAGGAAAAAGTTTACTGATAATCAAGAAAAAAAAATCTCAGTAGAGGGTGGGAGGATGGGTTAGCCTGGTGATGGGTGTTAAAGAGGGCACATTCTGCGTGGAGCCGGGGTGTTATACGCAAATAATGAATCATGGAACACTACATCAGAAACTAATGATGTGATGTGTGGTGACGAACATAACATAAAAAAAAAAAAATCTCAGTAGAAACAGACTCAGAAATGACCTATGTAGTGGACAAGGACTTGAAAACGTTATGATTAAGATGCCAAAAAAACCAGAGGAAAACATGGGCAAAATGGGGTGCAAAATGGGTTCAGTTGGTAGAGCACGCTACCACTGATCTCAGGATTGTAAGTTAAAGCCCCATGTTGGGTGTAGAGCTTAATTAAAAAGGGGGGGGTGCCTGGCTGGCTCAGTCAGAATACAAAATGAAGCATATCAATAGAGATTTAGCTTAAAGATTCATATGAACACTTTATAATTTAAAATATAATATTGAAAATTAAGAATGCATTGGGTAGTCAATGTAAAGTCAAATTAACAATAATCTTATGCAGAGAGAAAAAAAAGGAAAGAACAGAGCAAAATAGAAAAGAAATATAGGAGACAGTCAAACCATGAAATTGAAAACCTAAAAATATAGGACAGAAAATTTATTTGAAAAAATAATGGACAAAAACATCACAAATCTCATGAAATGTTTTGATACATAAATTAAAAAACTCATCAAAGCTAACCAGATAAAATAAGGAAATCCATACCTAGGCACAGCGTGGCCAAACTGTTGAAAAACAAAGTTTACAAATATATCATAATAGTATGTATTTTTAAAAAAGCCCGGTGATGGGTATTAAGGAGGGCACGTATTGCAGGACCACTGGGTGTTACACACAAACAATGAATCCTGGAACACTACATCAGAAACTAATGATGTACTGTATGGTGACTAACATAATAAGATAAGATAAATAAAATAAAATAATAAAATATAAAATAAAATAGGGTATCAGTTATAAGAAAAAGTTCATGTCTCAATAGAAACTACAGTGGCCTGAAGAATGGAATTATATCTTTAAAGTATTGAAAGAAAAAAATGACAACTGTTAGTTTTATACCGGAGAAAATATCTTTCATAAATGAAAGTGAAAGATCTTTTCTAACAAAAGCTTAGAGAATTTCTTATTAACAGACCTACAATATGAGAAATACTAAAGGACAGCAGTCAGACTAAAGGCAAATAATCCCAGGTGGAAGCATGTGCAAAAAGCTATGACAGTAAATATATGACTAATATGACTAAACAAATGGACTGTTTAAAGGAACAAAAATAATAATTCTTGTGGGGCTTGTAATATAGGAAGAAGAAATGACAATACTAGCATAAATAGAGTTAAACTATTAAAATGTTCTTATATTAGTTGATATGTAGTAAAAGCCCTAATTTAAGGGAGACTGTCTCAAAGATGCATTCTATAATAGCTCAGTTAACTACTAAAAGAATTATACAAAGATGTACAACCAGAAAAACCTACTAGAAGAGATAAAATGAAATAATAAAAATACCTGATTAATACAAAAGAAGACAGGAAAAGAGGAATAAAGAAATAAAGAATGAACAGGACAAACAAAATATATTGCAAGATGACAGATTTAAGCCAAATTTTATCAGTAATTGTACTAAAATGTAAATGTACTAAACATTGCAATTAAAATCTAAGATTGTCAGATTAGATTAAGAAGAAAAACAGGATCAATTATGCTGCCTATAAGAAATATACTTTAAACACAAAGACAAATATATTAGAGAGTAATAAGAAAAATGCTGGTATTAGTGTATTAATAACAGATACAATAGGTTTCAATGCAAGAAGTATTAAAAGTAATAGAGACATTCATACAATTCAAGAAGAATATGATGGTAGTCCTACATTTCTTATGTACCTAGTAACATAGCTTTAAAATACATAAAGCAAAAGTCAACAAAATTAAAGGCTAGACAAAGTTATAATTGAAGTTTGAGAGTTTAGTACCCTCCACTGGTAACCAATAACAGGAAGAGAAAAAAAAAATCAACAGGGCCATAGAAGTTTGAACAGGATTAATCAAATTGACCTAATTGAACATTATACTCCCAAACTATAGACTATACGTTCTTTTCAAATGCTCACAATATATTTATCAGAATATTCTGGCCCATAAAACAAGTATCTATAGATTTCAAATAATTAATATCAAAAAGAATGCATATATTCTGAAGCCCTTGGAATTAATTTAGAACTTAAAAACAGGTATTTCTCAAATGTTTCCAAATATAAAAAGTTCACTTCTAAATAAGTATAGGTACAGACAATGAATCATGGAACGCTACATCAAAAACTAATGATGCACCGGTGACTAACATAGCATAATAATAAAAAAATAAATAAAAAGTAAATCAAAGGAAAAAAATAAATAAGTATAGGTCAAAAACCAAATCATAATATGGAAACCAGAAAATATTTTGAGCTGAATGATCATGAAAGTATGACATAACAAGTCTTGTGAGATGCAATCCAACCAATGCTTACAAAGACATTTTAACTTTATATATGTTTTTGTTTTGTTTTTTATAAATGCTGCAGATAAATGCCATTCATTGTTTAATCTCCATCATAGTTGTTTGGTGTACTACAGATATATTGACATAGCAAGTAAATTAGTAGTGAAATTACGATGGAAATCCTTTGTCAAATTATGTCCATGCTAAATAAATCTGGAATTTATTTTTTCCCAGTGGATAGCATGAGCATTTAAAAAAATTTTTTTTATTGTTATGTTAATCACCATACATTACATCATTAGCTTTTGATGTAGTGTTCCATGAGTCATTGTTTGTGTATAACATCCAGTGCTCAATGCAGAGCATGCCCTCTTTAATACCCATCACCAGGCTAACCCATCCTCCCACCCCCTCCCCTTAGAACCCTCTGTTTTTCAGAGTCCATCGTCTCTCATGGTTCGTCTAGCATGAGCATTTGTAATAACTGTCCTCTTATTTTCTTCTTTCTTTTAAATGCTTTGACCTACTTCATCCAAACATAAATGTATGTATTATCAAAGTGGAAAGGTTAAAAATCAATGATCTACCTTTGGAAGATAGACAAAGAAAAGCACCAGGAAATTAACATTGGTACAATACTACTCTACAGAAAGTAGAGCACACTAAAAGAAACCAGTCACATAAAAAACCCAGATATACAACAAAGAAAAATCAATAAAGCCAAAAACTATTTCATTGATGAGATAAAATTGATAAATCTCTCACTATGCTAGTCAAGAAAATAAATGCCAATATCAGGAATATGAAAGGAGATAGCACTACATATATTACAGATATTAAATTGGTAACAAATTTCATGAACAACTTTATGACAATAAACTTGAAAATATAGATGAAATTTTAAAATTCCTTGAAAACACAATTTAATTGAACCGATATGAAAAATGGAAAATCTGAATATTGTTATATTTACTAAAGAAATAAAATCTTTATTAAGGACTTTCCCATAAAGTGTCAGGTCCAGAGGCTTCAGTGGCAAATTCTCCCAAACATTTAAGGAACTAAAAATACAAGTCAAACTCAGTATCTTCTAGAAAATAGAAAAAATGGACCATGTCATGAGGCATAACTGTGGTATCAAAACCTGACAGGGACATTAATTACAAGAAAAGAAAATTACAATACATCTCTCATGAACATAGATGTAAGCATATTAAGCCAAATATTAGCAAGGATATTACACCAAATATTATAGGTGATATAGATGGCAAGAGAAATTTAGTCTAGAAATATAAAGGTCATTTAATTTCCAAAAAATCAATCAACATAACCTTCCAACCTTAAATAAAAAAAATGGAGAAAGCCATTCATACATTTCATTAGATATGGAAACTTTGATAATATTCAACCACAGTTCATGATAAAAATTCTCAGCAAACTAGGAAAAGAAGGGAACTTCTTTAATTTGATAAAGGGGATCTACAGAGTAAAACTACAACTATAATTTTTTTTTAAAGATTTTATTTCTTTATTTGAGAGAGAGAGAGAATGAGAGATAGAGAGCACGAGAGGGAAGAGGGTCAGAGAGAGAAGCAGACTCCCTGCTGAGCAAGGAGCCCGATGTGGGACTCGATCCCGGGACTCCAGGATCATGACCTGAGCCGAAGGCAGTCGCTTAACCAACTGAGCCACCCAGGCACCCAAAACTACAACTATAATTATATGAGAGGTGAAATATGGATCACTGTCCTTCTGAGTTCAGGAACAAGGCAAGTTTGTCCATTTTTACCACTTCTACTAAATTTTGTACTGTAAGACCAATCCAATACCATAAGGAAAAAAAGTGAAATGAAAGGTATGAAGGTTAGAAAAAAAAGAAGTAAAACTATCTTTATTTGCAGATAACATGATTTGGAAAAAAATTTCAGTTCTACAATCTGTTAGAACAAGTGAATTTATTAGCAAGATTATTGAATAAAAGGTCAAAGTATAAAACAATTACTTGTATTAAAGCAAAGTTATTGGAAAATGAAATTTTAAAATCCCAACAGTTTATAAAAAAATCTAAAAAGTACAGCGTTTTGGAATAAACCTAACAAAAGGACAAGACTTAGACTGAAAACACCAAACCATTAAGGGACTAAAGAAGAATTAAACAAATGGAAACAGTCTATGTTTATGAATTGGAAGACTCAATTTTAACTATCAATTCTCTCTAAATTGATCTATTGTTTTGATGCATCTCCAACAATATCAGCAGGGTTTTTTTTTTTGAGAAAATTAAAATTAACTTGTTCTTATAATTATATGGAAATGTAAAGAACCCAGAAGAGTCAGGGCAATTGTGAAGAACAAAGTTGTCAAAATCACATTAGATATCAAGATGTGATATAAAGCTACTGTAATTAAAACAGTGATACTGACATAGGATTGACAAACAGACCAATAGAATAGAGAGTCCAGAAAGAGACTTGCACATATATCGTCATGGTTTTCACACAAAAAAAGTCTGACTGCAGTTTAGAGCAGAAAGGATAGTCTTTTTCAACAAAAGGTGCCTAAGTAATTGGCTGTGTGCAAAAACTGATTTTCACTCTGATCCCACTACATACACAGATATAAATCCAAGATGGATCATACACCTAAATTTGAAAACTGAAACAATAAACCTGGAAGAAGAAACAGGAAAATATCTTCATGATCATGGCTATGCAAAATTCTCCTTTTTTTGGTTTAATTTTTATTTTCACTTATTTTAGACTTAGAGAAAAGTTGCAAGAGGAGTAGAGAGAGTTCTTTTTACCCCTGACCCTAATGTTAACATCTTACATAGGACAATGATCAAAACCAGGAAATTAACATTGGTACAATACTACGGATGGCATTTCTTATTCAAATGTTACCAGTTTTTCACACTAATGTCCTTTTCTTTTCCAGGATCCTATACATGATCCCACATTGCATTTAGCTGTTATTTCTCCTTAGTCTCTTCCAATCCCCAAAGTCTTCTTATGGTAATAGTTTTCAACTGCTGCCATAACAAACTACCACAAATTTAGCTTAAAACAACACATATTTATCATCGCACAATTTTTGTGGACCCAGAGTCTGCACACAGTTTAGCTGAATGCTCCCCTTAGGCTGATCTCATAAACTGCAAACAAGGTTTTCACTGGGCTGTGTTTTCATTCAGAGGTTCAACTGGGGAAGAATCCACTTCAGAGTTCATCCAAATTGTTGGCAGAATTAATTTCTTCGCAGTTATGGGACTGAGGGCCCCTTTTTGCTGGCTGTCCACTGGTGGACACCCTTAGGTCCTAGAGGCCACCTGCAGTTTCTGGCAACATGGGCTTCTCCAGCATTGCCACTTACTTCATCAAGACCACAAAGAGAATCGTTAGCTCTAGTCTGCTATAATGGGGTCTTACATGACATAACATAACCGCAACAGTGACATACCATTTCTTTTACCGTATAAAATAACCTTATCACGGAAGTGACATCCCCCTCACCTTTGCCATTTTCTATGGGTTAAAAGCAAGTAACAGGTTCTGCTTGCACTCCAGGGGTGGGGATTATACAATGGCACAGACACCAGCAGGCAGCAATCACGTGGTCACTATAAAGGCTGGCCACCACACCTATCTTCATGACCTCTTCATTTTGGAGGAGTACCAGTCATTTATTTTGTCAAATATCCTCCACTTGGTTTTTCTAATATTTTTGTAACTGGAATTTGGTTGTACAATTTTGGCAGTACCACGATGGTGTTGTGTCCTTCTCTTTGTATCATAAGACAGGGCTAATGACAGCAATGTCTTATTACTGGTGATGTTAACCTCGATGGCTTGATTAAACTGCTTTCTGCTGGGTTCCTCTACTGTAAACTTACTACCTTTCCCTTTGTAGTTAATAAGCATCTTGGATAGTGGGAAATATTTTGACACTATGCAAATTCTTTTTCTCCTCAAATTTTCACCCACTAATTTTAGCATCTATTAGTTGTTTGTGTCTGAAACAACTATTACTGTGGTGTTTGCCTAAACAGCCACATTCTATGTCCCTCTTTCCTTCTACATTTAACAATTGGAATTCTACCGTAAGGAAGAGCTGTCCCTTCTTCCCCAAGAAAAGATGTTTTAAACAGAACAAAAATGCAATAACCATAAAAGAAAAAAATTGGTAAATAGCTCCATTAAAATTATGAACTTCTCTTTGCTATATCATTAAGTAAGAAGCTATAAGCTAATGAAAGACATTCTTTCTTTCTCTATTTCTTTCTCTTTCCACACACACACACACACACACACACACACACACATACATGTTTATATACACTCACAAAGGACTTGTATTCAAAATATACATAAAATTCCTACAAATCAATATTAAAATGACAAAAAAGACTAAAAATGGACAAAAGATTTGAATAGACACTTCATAAGAATATATCAAAATGGGCAGTATCATATGAAAAGATGCTTACATCATTACTTATCAGAAAAATGAAAATTAAAATCACAATGAGATACTACTACACAGACATCAGAATGACTAAAGTTAAAATGATTAACAATAGCAAGTGATGGCCAGTTTGAGAAGTAACTGTATCTTGCAGGGAGTGCAAATTAAGTCAACCACTTCCACCCTTAAGTATTTATCCAGGGAAAACATAAACATATGCCCACAAAAAAACTTGTACAGGAGTGTTCATAGAAGGTTTATTCATAATAGTCAAATACAGGGAACAACCCATCATCATGAGAATGAATAAAAAAAAAAGTGTGGTATGGTCACAGAAGGAAGTTTTTCATAATGTGATCATATTCTGGCAGGGCTGCTAGAGACAGAATGATGTCTCTTCCTATGAACTCCCAAAGCAGGTCACCTGGATTTCTCTAGTGACATCTCACATCTTCTGTCTTACTTAGTCCTATTTTGATTTCATTTCCTTGGTGGATAACAAGTCATTTGAGGAGAGCAACTATGTCTTTTTGTCATTATATTCCAAGGAGTACAAGCATATTGATATATTGTAAATATTTGGTATCTGACTTAAATTTCAAAACTAGAAATTTATCCTTAGGGATGACTGTAAAAGGACATAAAGATCTATGCATAATGATGTTCATTATAGACTAATTTAGTTGGTAGTCAAAAATTAGAAACATAATAGCTAACAGTAGGCAACAGGTTAAATAAATTATGGAGAAAAGGGCTTGAGGGCCCTGAAAAGGGTGATTCATCTGCATGGCCTCACACACAATTCACAGATATGTCACTAATAGGCAGGACATTTCAGCGAAGGAAAAGAAAGGGTCTCATATCTTTAAAATTCAAGTGTATTTAATGAATGAATAATGAGGAAACACAAACTCACCTGAACTTTAACTTTTTGATGTGTAACAAAAATTCTTTTTTCTCTCAGTATCCTCTTTTTTTCTTTAGAGACAGGCAGCACTGGGAAAAGAGAAGGCAGTCCTGAAACATCAGGACTTTCTTGGATAGCACAGTAACTTAGAAAACACACTCCATGACCACACCTTCTCACCTAGTCTCCCCCCCCCCCACCACCAGTATAAGAGTAGAAAGGATACTGGAATAGTGTTGACCTTCCCAGGATGAGAGAGGCCAGGGTCACTGATGTCCAGGGAGAAATCGGTCTCTAATTCACAGCAGGTTCTTGGGGCCAGAGTTCTGGAAATGCTGTGGATATGAGACATGTAACTGACCTTCAGGAGCTTCCAAGGAAGAACCTTCCAGGAGGGAATCCTACTCCTGGGACCTTATCAGGTCTTCCCAGAAGCCTGCCTTGGGGCCGATTGCAGCTTCAAAAGATCTCATCTCAAGATCAAGTCTGTGTCATCTTGCCGTGATTCTCCATTCTTCCATTCTAAGGCTCAGGATCTGACTTCCCTCTTTTATCCGCGGCGGAGGACGGACAGGGCGGAGGATCCGCGGAGCCACACAACCGTCGCTCACCCATAAGCCACGAAGTTAATTAAATAAGCACAACCAAGGGTCTGATACACAAGCGCAGACGCCGTCATGGAGACACGCTGTCACAGTGTCACACACACACACAGACTCACACACGTCTCTCGTAGGAACACAAATCTGTGCTGTTCACGCAGACGCAGGCCTGAGACTCCGGGCTCCACACGCCCTGTCAGTTCCCAGATTGTCCTCGCCTGGAGAGCCTCTCACCCCATCCAAGGATTCCCGTCGGGCTCCGGTCAGAAACTGTAGATGCCTCCGCTGATTTTTATCTTTGGATAGGTCCTACTCACCACGTAGTGACCACAGCCGCTCCGACACCGGAAAAGGACTCAGGGATCGAGGTGGATGCGAGCCCGGTGGCTTCTGGGAAATGCAGTCCCGCGGGCTGGGAGCCGGAGACAAGGTCGCCAGTGCTCGGAGTGCGCAGGCGCAGGCGTGTGCCGGCGCGGCGCGAGGATGACCCGAACTGTGGAGCACCGTAATCTCAGGTTCTACACCGGTGAGGGAAGCGAGTGGAATGTGAGTCCAGGCTGTAGAAAGCAGAGCAAGGGTAGCGGACGCCAGAGCCTCGACCCTGCACGCGGGAAGTGGAGGTAGCGGGTTCCTGGGTGCAGTGGTTCCGTAGATGCGAGTTCTGTGAGGGGCTCAGAACTTTTGTCTTTCGCACCCCAGGGTAGCACCAGCGCCTGGAGTAGAGCCAGGAGCACAGCAGGTGTTAGGTATGCATTTGTTTTATTTTTAAAAATATTTTATGTATTTATTTGAGCGTGAGAGCGCGAGCATGAGCGGGGGGAGGGGCAGAGGGCGAGAGAGAAGCAGACTCCCCGCTGAGCAGGGAGCCCCAAGCGGGGCTGGATCCCAGGACCTTGGGATCAAGACCTGAGCCGAAGGGAGACGCTTAACCGACTAAGCCACCCAGGCGCCCCTGTGCATTTTTTTAAAGAAACAGTGACTCGGCAGGTGTAGGTGTGTTTGGGTTTTCATTCTTTGTGACACTGTGGAACCCATTGTGTATCTGTAACTGTGTGTGTGTTGGGGGGGGATGTTGTGTTTCTGGTTGTGATTTGTTTCAGAGTGTGTTCTCTGGATGTGATAGTGGCTTGTATTTCAGATTTTGAGGTTATATAAAATTTATTAAGCCCTGTTCCTCCTCACACCTACATCCCAACCCCGAAATTCTTCATGCCCAGTAAGTTCTTTCCATTAACAATGAGTCTCGGTGACTTTTGTCCAAGACACATCCTAGAAGGGCTGACTCATTCATGAGGCACAGTGGCAAAATGCCTAGGGCCCACAATACTTTTGGAGGCACACAAAAAGTGTTGTATTTATTTATTTATTGTTATTTTTTATTTAAGTCTTTAAAGTCAGAATTAAGCAAATGTTTGTCAAAGAAATGTTAATATTTAATTTATTATTATTACTATACCTAAACAATCGTAAAATATAATTTTTATTCTTTTTTTTTTATGGAAGAAGGGGCCTATGAAAGTCATAGTGCAGCCTGGCATCTTAGTCAAATCAAACCAGATTTCTATCTATCTTAATACCTCTTCCAACTCCCCACTGGGACTTGGGAATACAGCACCATACCCTCCGAGTTTAGGTGCAACTGCCTGTGAACTCTGAGCTTCTCTCATGAGAGCCCCTCCAATGGCCCCAGTATGGAGTGCAACATTTCCTTCCCCAGCTGTTTGAGTACCTTGGAAGTGAAGTTTGAACATGTTTTTCAGTCTCCTAAAATTTTTTTCTTTCCAAGACTCTTGGGGAATAGGCAATAAAAAGTTTGAGTGCCTTTGTGACTGTGTATGGAATTATATAATATGATGCATTTTTTGAGGCCTATTAGACTGTGACTTTAGTTATGAGATTATATGTTTTTATCTGTATGACTTAAAATTTATGTGATATTTTGAAAGATATGCTTTTCTTATGTGTGCATTCTGTAGATACTGTAAATGTGAATTCCTGTGTGAACAGACTTGTGTGAGAAGCTGCATGACTTTGAGTTGGATATGTGTGATTTTGATTATATGATTATAAAACCCTGTGATATTAAGACTGTGTATATTTGTGAGTGACCATAAACCTTCTTACTCTTCTCAGCAATGAAATAAAGAGAGGAATATTACATCTTTTCAGAGCAATAACTTTAAGATTTGGGTAAAGGAGGATTTGTCATTTATCTGTCAAATCATTTGGATATTTTATGTTCAGATAGATTTTTTTCAAGGGGAAGAATACAAATCAGCATATCTTTCACAAAAGAGGGAATTCATAGTCACATGCTCTGTATGCGAGAGGTTTTGTGTCTGTATGCAGCTTTTGTGTCTGTCTTCTATCCCAGAGGTAAGCTTCCATTCTCCTAAGCTGTGAAGGAATTTTTTAGATAAGTTTGAAAAGCCCTGGACTAAAGACATAATTTATACATAGAGAGGCAGTTTGGCTTAGAGCAGGTAAGTAGGACTAGATTAGGGAGTCATGTCCTGAATTCTGTGTCAAGCATCATTGTTATTTCCCTTTGCTGAAGAGAAAACTGATTCAGAGAAGACTGCCTGTTTAAGACCATTCAATTTGTCAACAGAGAACTACTTGCCATACTTCAAATTATAGGTAATTGATACATTGTTACCAGTAATCCAGTGAAATGCAAAATTAGAGCTTTAGTTCCTGTGTAAGGCCTTATCACAATTAGAAATGGTAACTTGGAATGGCAAAGTGGTCATTGTCAGTGATAATAGTTTTATTTTATGTTCTCTTTCTTTACATTGACTTTTAAAGTTATATTTCCTTCCATTTTTAATAAAATACTAAATGCCTCAGTATGCATTTCCTGTAGGCTGTAGTTCCTATAGTGCCTATAACTGTCCACTGTGAGTTGGGTTCTCTCAGACCCACCAAATCATAACTGCTCACTGTAGACGAAAGTGGTACATCTGGAATCAAGCATTATCAGGACCAGAGTGCACAAGCAGGTCACATGAATATGTAACCCAGACTCCATTTCATTCACCGTGGTTGCATCAGTACCTCTCCCTTAGCTCGTATATGGCTTCATGGGGGATCATTTATGACCAGCTGATAGAGGAGGAAAAATCCTGAGTTTGATTCACATATTCATCCATTCAGTATACAAGCCAGAAATGGATGGACAGTACACTATAGCGCCATTCAGGAGTGGCCCTGAAAATTCTCCCAGTGGAGTAAGAGTTTTATCAGTATATCAGGGCTCCCAGGTGGCTCAGTTGTTAAGTGTCTGCCTTCGGCTTAGGTCATGATACCCGGGGTCCTGGGATCGAACCCCGCATTGGGCTCCCTGCCCAGCAGGAAAACTACTTCTCCCTCTCCCACTCCCCCTGCTTGTGTTCCTGCTCTCGCTATCTCTCTCTCTGTCAAATAAATAAATAAAATCTTAAAAAAAAGAATTTTATCAGTATATCTGATAATCCCCTTTGTGTGAAAGGAAGTGACCTAAAGTTAGAATATATATGGCCTCATGTGCAGTGGTGCATGGATTGTCAATTAGTAAGGTATCTGAGAAGAACAAGATTGGAAGATCAAGGAAAAGGAGGCCTGGGGTGGAGGGATGTGGAGAGAAATGGTAGTAGGCATGAAGTGTATGTAAACAACTTTGTATTTTACATTAATACCCACAGAGAGCATGTACTGTGAGTGAGAAAGTATATCAGGTAGACGAAATGATGTGGTCAGTTAATATCATCTAGTCTTTGTCATTGTTTTCCTAATTGTGGCACGATGGTAGCAGGGATAGAAGTTACCCATGGGCCAAACAGCATGGGCTTTCATTTACCAAAGTTGATGTAGCTATTAGTGCCACAAAATAGTCAGCTTGCTAACAACAGAGACAAATTCAGAGTCCCAGATATGGCACAGTCCCTCAAGGAGACCAACCAACCATTTGATGGCAAGGCAGAATTTCTTCCACACTGGACAGGAATTAACACATATTCTGATTATGGATTTACCTTTCCTGTCCTCAGGGCTTCAGCTAGTACTAGCATATGAAGGCTTACAGAGCTTTTGACCATTGTCATGGACCCCAATAACATTCCATCCAACCAAGAACCTACTTTGCTGGAAAGGAGATGCAGGAGTTGGGCCAGGACCATAGGTTCCATTGTATTATATATTGTACCAACAAAAAGCTGCCAACCTGATAAAGCATCAGAAGGCCGTTTGAGGACACAGCTAAAATGCCAGGTTGGAGGATATACTTTACAAGAATGGAGTGCCATCCTCCAGGATACAGTACAACCTTGGAAAAAAATTTAGTGAAAAATATAAATTTATAGATTCAAGAAGTTCAGGGAACTCTAAGAAGGATAACAAAACAAACTACAGGAGACACAACATAATAAAACTGTCTTAAAGCAAATATAAATAGAATTGTGAAAGAAGCTATGTAAATAGGACACATTACATAAGGGGGAAATGATACAAATGATTGCTGACTTTTCATTAAAAAATTGAAAGACTGAAGACAATGGAGTAACATAATTAAAGGGCCGAAAGAGTAACCCCAAATTATTCATCCAGTAAAAATATCCTTCAACAATGAAAGCAAAATGAAGATACTTTTAGATTAAAAAAAAAAGTTTAGAGAATTTGTCGTCAGAAGACCTTAACTACAGGGAAGGCTAAAGGAATTTCTGCAGGTTGAAGGGAAGATATCAAAAGAAAACACAGATTGTTGTGATGAGCACTGGGTGTTATACATAACTAATGAATCATTGAACACTACATCAAAAACTAATGATGAATTATATGTTGGCTAACTGAACATAATAAAAAAAACATAGATTGTTAGGAAGAAAAGAAGTGTGCACAAAATAGTAAATATGTGGGCTACCTTTTTCTTTCTCAGTGTCTTTAAAACACATGACTGTTTAAACAAAACTCTAACATTTTGTTGTGTGATTTAAAGCTTATATAAATGTAACATATGCAATAAGTTCAATATAAAGCATAAAAGTAAGTGGAACATTACAGGCACAGCTGAGATGTACTAAACCCACTACAGCCAATCTCCCCCATGGATTACAACCACAAACTCTAGATAAAATACAAAGAGCAACTACCCGAGGACTTTGTAAAGCAAATAATAGCGGGCAGATTAAGGAGAGAATCGGGGTGCCTGGGTGGCTCAGTTGGTTAAGTGACTGCCTTCGGCTCAGGTCATGATCCTGGAGTCCCAGGATCGAGTCCTGCAATGGGCTCCCTGCTCAGCGGGGAGTCTGCTTCTCCCTCTGACCTTCGCCTCTCTCATGTGCTTTCTCTCTCTCTCATTCTCTCTCTCAAATAAAATCTTTAAAAAATATATATTA